ACCCAAAAGCTAAGCAAGATAAGAATCTGAAACCTGGATTAGCTCCAAGGGCATGGGTGTCTGGGAGCCTCCCAGCATAGGAAAGCAAAGGCATCTCAGGTGACCTGGAGTAGGGATTTCTAGCCTTGTTCTTCCTTCCCCAAGTGCTCACTGTGGGCCTAGCACGGTTTGAGTGCTTTATCTAGGTTAACTCACTTTTCAGGTGAGGAAACTGAAGTGCAAAGTAGTTAGGTAAATCGCCCAAGGATCCCAGCTAGCAGTAGCAGAGCAAGGATTCAGACCCGGGCAGTGTTCCATTTCATAGCCTGAAGAGAACCAAACTTCCCTGGGAGTGACCCCAATGCTCACTGCCATGGTGAGGGAAAAAGAAATACAGCCATGGCCTTGGGTGCGGGAGCATTCTTGCTATCTGCACACACTTGGCCGACCCTGCAGGTCATATGGAAGGGCAGTCCCCCTGACTAGGTGTTCACCAGCCACAGGACAGGGTGTGGAAAACCACAGACATGGAGATAGTGGTCAAGTCCCCACAGCTGGTCACTGGCAGAAGTAGCAGAAACAAATAGGCAGCATTATCCATTCTCCCAGTCAACAAACATCCTTTGAGCCCTAGTATGCCTGGCAGCGTCTCTGTAGTCAAGCTCCAGGTTTACAATACAGGTTTTAAATGTAATTGGCTGGATTCAACTTAAAATACATGTTGTAGGGCGACAGGGGGGTCCTGTAGTTGTCCATATGCTCAAGAATCCAGTGCTCCCCAGCAGTCAGACAGCTGAAAGGAGAGTGGGGACTGCTGGGAGATTCAAAGGCTCTCTCTAGAAGAAACCACATTATCTTCTCACATCCTTTTAAGTGGAATAAAAGATAGGATCATCTTCACTTTTCATAATCATAAATGCAAATTTTAAATGGGTTAAAGATAAGTCACATTTTCTTGGAATTTCTAGAAGAATATAGACTTTTTTTTTTCTGGCAGTCCTGAAGTTTGAATCCAGCCTCACGTTTGCTACGCAAGCACTCTGCTGCTTGAGCCACTCCACCAGCCATTTTTATTACCTCAGCCTGTGGATGAATTTTGTAAATTAGAAAAAATAAGAACAGGGCCAGATGTGGTGGTTCACACCTGTAATCCTTGCTTTTCAAGGAAGTGGATTTCTTGAGGATTGTGGCTCAAGGCCAGCCTGTGCAAAAAGTTCCCAAGACTTCATCTTAGCCTGTGGTTGGGCATAGTGGTGTGCACCTGTCATCCTAGCTAAGCAAAGAAGCCCCAAAATAGGATTGTGGTCCACACTGGCTTAGGCATAAGTGAGAGCCCCATCTCAAAAATAACGGAGAAAGGGCTGGCCAGTGTTTCAAGTGACAGAGTGCCTGTCAAGTGTGAGACCCTGAGTTCAAGCTCCAGTGCTGTGGAAAAGACAGAAAAAAGAAAAGGAGAATAAGAACAGTATATAAAGGAAGGTGGTAGGTCTGACCACGTTGGAATTAAAAACTTTGGTTTATCAAAGGATATTTAAAACTTAAAAAGGCAAGCCATAGACTGGGAGACAATATTTGCAATACATGTATCAAGTCTAGTTTTTAAGATAATGTCTAAGACCAGTGGGAAAAAAGACAACTCATAGAGAAAGGGGCAAAAGATGGGAACAATCAGTTGACGTGAGTGAAAGCCTAACTGATTAATCAACCTGTGCACGGAAAGCCCACCCTCCCTAGTAACCAGGGGAGTGCAAGTATGAAACCATAATCAGTTTAAAAAGTGTCACTATCCCATAGCAGGAACTTAGCCTGTGAGGGTGTAAACTGATTCAGCCACTTTCATTTGTGCTTTTATTTTTTAAAAAACATTTTTTACACTATACACATATGACACAATGCATAAAATGCAGAAATCCTAAGTGTCCATCAGCGACTTCTTACCTACAAGTGTTCCCAGGTAGCCACCATTCCTATTAAGATGTAGAATCTCTGCCCCAACAGGATTCCATCATGTCCCTCCTCCTTGTTAGAACTGACTCTGCTTTCATCACAGTTTTGCCTGTTCTGAACTTCACATTAGTGTTGGCTTTTCTCACTCAACACATCCCTGGGCTCTATCCCTGCTGCAAGTTGCAGGAGTGTGTTCCTTTGTATTGCTCAGTGGCCCTCCACCATAACTTATTTCTCCATTCTCTACTGATTGGAATTTGAATTGTTCCAGTAAGGAGACGATTATGAATAAAGCTACTGGAAACATTCTTGATGTGAAATGCCCTGGTGAGCAGTTTGGCATTATGTAGTCAAGATGGAGTGTCTGCTCTGACCCAGCACTGCACCCCTACAGAACTGTTATGGAAACTCACACGTTTAAAGAGTCATGAGTAAAATACCTGTGACTGCTTTGTTCATAGTTGTAAAAACAAAATAAAAACCTTAACTGCCCACCCACAAGAAATTGGATCAATAAATTACCATATTCAGCCAGGCATCAGCGGCTCACGCCTGTAATCCTAGCTACTTGGGAGGCTGATATTGGGAGGATCAAGGTTAAAGGCCAGCCTGGGCACATAGTTCTCCAAAATAACTGGAGGTGTGGCTCAAGCAGTAGAGCACCTGCTTTGCAAGCTTGAAGCCCTGAGTTCAAACCAAAAAAGGAAATGTGGTATAGTCATACAAGGGAATAATACGTATGTGTGTGTACGTGTATATATGTAAAAGTAAACAGCATAAAGCTACCATCGACATGGCTCAATACTGAGTGGAAAGCAAGCCACAGGGAATGCATGTATACGTGATTTTAAAACGGGCAGTACATAGCATCACAAGGTACAGGTGTGATAAGGCACATCTGATTACTCTGAAGGAGCAAAAGGTGAATGGCACTGGTAAGCAGACTCCAGGGGTGATCGACTTCAGGCGGGACAAGGTTTCATGGACTCACGAGGGCTTTAGTCACAGTGTACTGATCAGCTATTTTACTCTTTCTACTTGGAATATATCACAGCTTTTCAAAGAGACAAGGGGTGAGAGTATTAAGGGCAACTAAATGCTGGTAAATGACATTTGGCCAGGGAAGGGAGAAGTGATTTGTAGTGTTTGCTGGTTTCGCTGGTGTAAATACTCCTGTCATGGCTGATTTCAAACCACCAATGTGACCTCCGGCTTACAAAGTTCCCGAAAGCCTCAGGAGCCAGTATGAGCCAGCTCCATCCAGCACACCACTCAGACCCTCGGGAGCAAAGTGCTCCATGGCCAGCCTCAGGTTCCCTGAGGACTTTCCCAGCATGCAGGAGACAGGATGCAGGCTGTGACTTATTAGTTCCTTATTGCTATTAAGTTACACCCAATTCTGAGCGGCTTAAAACAATTGTCTCACAATTTCTGAGAGTCAGGAAGCTAAGAATGACTTCTCTGGGTGGTTCTGACTCAGGATGTCTTACGAGGCTGCACTCAGGCTACTCACAACCAAGGCATTTGATATTTGGGCTGGGAGCTCGTTCACTCTAGGAGTTCACTCTAGAGGGTTTCAGGTCCTTATCATGCACTCCTCTCCAGAGCGAATGATGAGAGAGCGAGCGAGCATTCGAGCGCATCACACAGCAGCCCTGCTGAAACGTGGGGGGAATGACGCAAGGGTACAGACACCGGGAGGCAGGGATCGCTGGGGCTGACTTGGAGGGGGGCTAGCACACCAATCACAGGGGAAGGTGAGTGCGGAATTTCAAGGTCCATAGCAATTCTGAAATGGCTCTTGTTCAGAGGTCTTAGAAAGCCACTTCTCAGTGCTGATTCAGAGGCAAAAGTGAGAATGAGCCCAGCCACCACTTAACTGATGGATCAGTCTCATCTCAGAACATGCAGACAAAAACAGTTGTCCCAGGGAGACGAGGGGGCCCCCAGGGCTCTCACAGAAGAGCAATTCCAGCTGTTCTCTGGTGCTACAGTGCACAGCAAGTCCCCAGAGCCTAAGGTGGGGGCTGTCTCCTGGCACTTCCTTTGTTCTTTCCCTAACAGGAGGGCCACACTTGCTTCACTCTGGTGCCCTCCTGAGCAGTGGCTCAGGGATGCTTAGGTGCCAGGGCTGTGGGGAAGTATGGCCAAGGAGCTGGAGTCCTGGTCACGGGGTGGTCATGAGGCACCACAGCTCAAGCTGTCACTGGAGTGTATTCCCATAACCCAATCAAAATGTTCTCTGCTCAGTACCAAGCTTGGGTAACAGCAAGCTCTAGCCTCACTTGGGGCCAGGGAGGAGTAGTCAGTAAAGGCTCTGAGAAGGCCTGTGGGAAATAAGCTTACTTCATTTAAGTCAATGACTCCTCCTAAACTTAATTTATCATAGACATTTTTCTTTTGGCAGAACACGCAGTAACCAAACACCTTTTACATCTGTTGCTCACTCAGCCTCTTTCTCCATCGGGTATGTTGCAGGTGGAGGCTCTAATCCTCGCTAAAGCATGTCCATGGTGCAGCATCATCGGCTGCTGGGACCTGCTTAGATAGGCAGAATTTCAGGCCCCGCTATGGATCAGAACCTGCATGTTAACAGGATGCCCAAGTGGTTGATGTGAAGTAATCCAAGAAGCATGGTTCTGCATCTTCTGTTATTCCCCCTCTAAGATGCGCAGCTGGGTAATCCAGGGCCTCCAGGACCCATGTCCAGATGTAGTTCATGTATTCTGAACTGCACACTTGTGTTTGAAAATTACCCTTACTATTGATCTTTCCTTCCCAGGGGGCCTATGAGGAGGACCAAGGGGATCTGCCAGCCGCTGAAGTGGACCTGCTTCTGCACATACTTAGCAAAGGACCAAGGAGTTCTTCCCACTTGGCCTCCCCATCCCTGCCCAGATGTCTCTTCTATGGATACCTGCAGACGCCTGACCTAGAGATGGATGCCTTGGGGATCCAACCAGTTTCCCTTAAGAGTCAGTTACAGCCTCCCTATGGTCACAAGGATCAAACACAGTCACCCTTAGCAGCTCTGCCCCAAGCCCCTTAGGAGGAGGAAAGGTGAGTCAGCGTCTAGGGAGAAGATATTTTATTGAGACTGCTACATAAATAGCTACAGAAAGCAGGGAGGGAAAAGGACACGGCAGTTCTGTCCCTCTACACAGGTCACTAAGGAGCCCATAAAGGGGTTGGGGAAAGGTTAGGAAAGACTAAAGAGGGAGAGAGGACTCCCCTGCCATGAATGCTGTCTGACATGAGGAGTCTGATAGGAGAGAAACAGAGGCAGACGGACATACCAGATGTCATGGGGGCGGGACAGGTGAGGACCAAGGAGGCCACAGAGTCAGTGTTTGGGAGTCATTGGGTCAGAGCCTGGATCACATCCTTCACCAACATGGTGCCAATCACCATCTTCTCGCTGTTGACAGTCAGCTGGGCAGCTCCAGCTGCCCGAGCATCCAGAGTCAGTAGGACTAGGCTCCCGCTGGTCAGTGTCCGCCCTGCAAACCTGAGGTGAGAGCAGGGTAAGGGGTGGGGAGTGAGCTGCTGGGGACTCGGGGCCTCTTCCAACCAGGCCCCACAACATCCATCCCTTCTGTGCTCATACCTATACTCATCAGATGTCCCACAGGGGACACGACCCAGGTTGGCAGTGGTAGTCACTTTCTGCACCACGATGTGGTCACTCCGACAGGTCTCTGGCAGTGTGAGCTTCTCTGTGATCTCGTTCATGCCTGTCAGCTTTCCTAGGTGCAGAGGCCATGATGAAGGCAGAGGCTGCATCCACTAGATGAACACCTTCAAGCTCTCCCAGGCTGCACAGGTCTCTTGCTAGAGGCAGGTCAGAGCTTCCCCCTCCCCCACCCCCCATCAGCCTCCTCTTCAGCCTCTCTCCTCTCTGCAGCCTCGCCATTCTCCAGCTCCTTCAGACAACCGACACCTGTTTCTTCCATTCACTTCATTCTTGGCTAGCCACATCATCTTGCCACTGCCTGTACCTTCAGGCCGGCTGCGTTCAAGTCTCATCATGCCAAGACTGCCTCCCTCCTCGTTCATGGTCAAAGTCCTCTAAAGAGAGCTCCATTTCCTCGAGGCAAGGTCTCTCTCAGCCCACCACGACTGGCCTGTGTCCCTCCTGTAGCAATGACCTGCTCTCCCTGAGGTTGGTAGTGGTCTCTCATATGCTGGATCTGAAGGCGTTTGGCCATTGTGGCCTGCAGACCACCCAAGGCACCCTCTGCCCTGCATTGCCTGCTCCTCTACCACCTCCCTCTGTTCCTCATCACTCTTCTCCCTTCTCTTCTGCAGAAGACTGGGTTTCCTCAAGGTCTGTCTTTGGCTTCTTGTCCCCCCACCCCCACCTGCCAGTGTGGGTGGTCTCACCCACACTCACAGCCTCCATCACCACCTCTGCACTCCTGTCTCCCACTTGAAGTGTTTCCCAGGCCCAGACTCACATTCAGGCCCATGCCTTCTCCTGAATGTCCCAAGTTCCCCTCAAAAATCTGCTTTCCCAACACTAACCATCACCTTCCCCACTTGCTTGCCCTGTTCTTTCTTCTCGATCAGGAATTTGACAAATTACAGCCTGCTGACCAAATCCAACCCACCACCTGAATGGCCCACAATGGTTTTTACATTATTTTTAGTACTGGGGAAAAGGTTAAAAGAAGGTTAATATTTCATGACGCAAGAAAATTTAATAAAATTGATATTTCAGTATCTGTAAGATGTTACTGGAATGTGGCCACACTTGTTCATTTATAATTGTCTGTGGCTGTTTTGTGTTAAAACAGCAGAGCTGAGTAACTCAGAAAGACTGCATGACCCTCAAAGCCTCAAACATTTACCATATGACCTACAAAAACAAACCCCAACTCTAGATGAAGGGCACCACTCCTCTCCCTACCATCCAAGCCAGAAATCCCAGAGTCAGTTTATATGCCACCCTCTCCTCCTGCTCAGGACAACTTCCCATACCTTCTTTCCTTCTTCTCCACACCATGCCCTACTCAGCCTCTGTTCCCTTTGCCGCGGCTCAGATCCTTGCCTCACATCCAGACCTGTTGCGATAGATCTAAACAACTAGTCACAGAATTCAGCCCAAGGGCACACGCCAAGTGAGTGACAAGTTCAGAAATGAAAGCCAGGACTTGTGAAGTACCTAATTTCCTTCACCTCCGCTAGGCTGCCTTTTTTACCTGCTGTAGGCTCACCCAATCCCAGCTCTTAAGTGTTGCCCGATTCCTCTTGCTAAATCGGGATTGAACCTGCCCTTTCCTTCCGTGACTCCTCCATTGCCAGGAAAGTAAGATCTACAGTCCTTGTCACTTTAATGATGGGGTTGGATCCAGTAACTTCTATGACCCCTTCCAGCCCTGAAACGTTAGGGCTGAAACCTTTTAGCACAGCATTCAAGGCTTCCAGAAATGAGGCCAAACAACTTACTTTTAGCTTTGTTCTTACTATACCTCTGTGCTAGAGACTCCTATGCCCCAATCCAAACTTTTTCCTACATTTACCACCATACTTCTGCATGTGTTGTCTCCCTAGCTGAAAGGCAGTCTAGACTTTTCTACCTGGCTGAGTCCAAGCTCTCTAAAGCCTCACTGAAATGTCCCACTCCTTGTGAAGGCTCTGCTAGGAGCACAAACTATAGGGCCTCCCTGACTAAAGAGCAGAGGTTCCTCCCATGTGTCTGTACCAAGGAGCTTAATGGTCACTAGCAGGTGGTGCTGGACTCCTCCCTACTCACCACAGGGAGCACTCACCCTGCTCCTTCTTGAACTCATTCTCACTCATGAACACAGGGGCCACCAGTTCTCCAACAGGTGGCTGAATGGAAACGTAGAACTGTCGGGTTTGGGTGCTGGGAAGGGTGGAAGGAGACAGAGAGGCAGGAAGTGAGACCAACTGCTCTCCTCTCACACTTCCCCCACCTCCAACAGAGACAAGGCATGGAGCTGGGGGCAGAAGAGTAAGGCCAGTTGTGCAGGTGTGGGTTTGGGATGACTGCCAGACTTACCAGATCCTGATGTGGCCCCCCACCAGTGATTCTTTTGGACCCCCCCTCTCTCCAGCCCACACTCCCAAGGCCACCACGTACCATAGCTGGAAGTTGGCTGCTTGGGTTGAGTCACAGAAATTAATGCCCATGACAGCTGTGGCAGATTCTCCTGGAGCCAGTGACTCTGAAGGGACATGAGACAGGAAAGGGGGAGCAGGTAGCATCATCACCTGTCAGACCCTGGACCCAGTCTACCCCATTCTCTCCTGTCAGAGCAGACTAGCCCTCTATGAAGTCCTGGCTTTCTGGGCCTCTGTTTTCTTCCTGAAACCTAAACACCTTTCCCTCTTACCCACCCTTGCTCCATCTAAGTCAGTCCTGAAACAACCAAGGCCCCAATTTTCTGCTTCCAGTACCTCCTTCCCTGACAGGAACTTGCTCATCTCCCAGTCTAGCTTGTCTACCAGGGTGTGGGTCCTGCTAGATGCCATGTCTGTACTCCCATAGTGGAGCCCCTGGCTTGGCCCAAAGAAGGAATCAGCAACTACACAGTGAACCTCCTCCTCCACCCTGCCCAACACCCTTCTGTACCAATTTTGGGAAATTCGTGGATGCTGATGCCAGCTGGCAGTTTAGGGGTGCCCATGTGCAGCTCCTTGATAGGCGTCTCAGAGCTGTTGGAGAAGTAGATGTGCACAGACACCATGTGGGGATCCCCAGAGAAAGGTTGGCGGCTAAAGGCATAATCCACAGCCAGCCCCTCGCCAGCTACCCGGTGCAGCAGCTCCTGCTTCCCCACACAGGACACTGGACTCAGTAGCTGGAGTGGAACAGGAGCACATACAGAAATAAGCAGGAGGGACAGTCAGTCCCAGCCTTGCCCCTACCTAAGGCCATCCTGCAGCTGGAACTCAAAGTTGAACCTCTGTCACACCTCCCCACACAGCCGTACCCATACCACAGGACACAGCATAGAGCTGTGTCCCTGCCCCAGCCAAGTCATCTCCCGCCCACTCACCGAGGGTACCAGAGAGGAGTCTGTGAGTGTCAGGCCCTCCAGATCAGCAGCCAGACTGGTGGACATGACCATGGGAGGAGACACAGGCTGGACACTGGAAGGGGTGACTGGGTAAAAAAGACTATGATGAGGGAGAGGCAGAGTAGGGGTGGTTTGGGTTGTGTGGGGAGCCCACGGCCTAAGGAGCAAACGCTCAGCACCATGGACAGCGGGATTCACAGCAGCCTGGAGGTGCAGTGAACATCAGCCCAGACCCCAACCAAGACCTGAGGAACCTGGTCCAGAGCTGCCACAGGCCTCTGAGCCACTCCAGACCTCAATCCCCGTGACCTCACTGCACAAACTCACAGTCCTCGAGGTCAAGCAGGGAGATCTCCTTGGCTGCAGGGGTACTCTTGCTGCTGGGAGGCTGAAAAAGAAAAATGGGGAATGGGAGGGAGGAAGGGGAGCCCCTGGCCTGTTCTGGTTGGGCTGTGGAACGGTATTTGGGTTCTGGCACTGGAGGATCGGGGGGCCCTGCCAAGATCCTTACCACTTTCTTCCTCCAGGAGGCTGAGGCCACTTGCTCCTCTTCGGACTCTGATGTCATTGCAGAGTCTGATGAGCTGCTGCTGGAATTGCTGTCCTCATCTGAAGACGAGCCTTCTCCATGTCCCTCTGGCACAGCCTTCCTCTTCTTGGTCTTCTTCTCTCCTTCCTCCTCACTCTGTTCGCTGAAGGAGAGTAACAAAGGAGGTGTCAGCCTTGACACCTGCCATTTGCTTCACAGAACAGCAGGGAAATTCCTGAAGAGTGGGGTGGGACCCTGGGCCAGCAGAGCCCCTCCTGGGCTCCTGTGCCAGGCCCCCAAAAGAACTTAAACCAGCTGGTACCAGCTCAGGCTCCACCCCCCCACCCCCTACCCCTGTTTCTCATCACCCCTACTAGGCCTCAGGGACCTCCTGCAGTCGGCCAGAGCAGACATCCTGTACGTTGCCAGGTGTGTCTGCAGGCCCCAGCAGCTCAGGAGGTGCTCAGGGCCTCCCAGGGGACTGGTAAGGCTGAGCACCAGCCTTTCTTTCCAGACGATACCCCTGCATGCAGCCAGCCATCTAGCTGGCTCCCCTCTTACCTTTCGCTCCCTCTCCCTTTCTCCTCATCCTCATCCTGGTCTTCGTTGTCAGACTCACTGCTGGACTCCCCAGAGCCACTCTCACTGCTGCTCTTGCTGTCTGACTCACTCTCAGACTCAGGCTCTGTGGAGGGACAGTGTTGGGCTGCCCTCCTCACAGGCAAGTCCCTGAATCTGCAGCAGGTGCTCCAGTTCTTGGCTTCAGACTCAACACTGAAGCAGAAACCTCTCTGACCTGCTGCTTGCCCCTAATGCCAACCAGAACTGACGCAAAGGCAGATGGACCCACAGGAATAGATGCTGCTGCTGCCCAAGCCCACGCACCCCAAGAATGAAACCTCCAGGCACACACACCCACACCCCACACACCGACACCACACCACCCCCACACACACACACGACAGCTCCAAGAGTGTGCACACCCTTGGTCACCGATCAGATAAATACACACGCAGAGTGCCCCTCAGTCACACACAAGGGCAGGAACACAGGGGACCCTGCTCTGCCCATCTCACCACTGTCTGCAGACTCTGTGGGGCCCGACTCCCCCTCAGAGTCTGAGTAGAAGGGCTTTTCCTTCTCCTTCCTCTTCTCCCGATTCGAGCACTTGGTCCATTCAGGTACCTGGAGATGGGGGTGGGATGGGGGTCATTCCTTACGGTTGGAGAGGAGGAAGGAAAACATAGGCCCTTTTTACCCTTCCTCACACCTCTTCTTGGAGCCCTACATGGTCCTGTCCCCAAAAGGGAACAATGGGGGGGAGGAGAGAGAGGGCACATCCATGAGGGAAGGAACTGCTGCTCACAAATGGGGCACTGCCCAACAGAGGAAGAAGCAGCAGAAGGAAAGCCAGGAGAACAGCACACGGAAGGAGGGTGCAGTACAGAGCAAGGAGAGATACAGCACACAGAGGGGACCTCAGTGCATTCGCCCAACAGGTCCACGTGCGTCTCAGTGAGGGAGAGGTCTTCTTCCTGTGTGTGGGGGGTGTATCAGAAGGCAGGACCAGACCTTTCTGCTGTCTCGCTGTCTCTCTATCTCTCTCTCTCTCTCTCTCTCTCTCTCTCTCTCTCACACACACACACACACACACACACACTCTCCACCCTTGCTGACCTCCACGTTGCGCACAGATGGGTCTGGGGCTTCGTCTGGCCAGTCTGGGAGCTCCTGGTAGCCTGTGGCCTTGGCATTGAGCAAGTGGGACAGTGACCCCAGCTGGAAGTGGTCCCGATCTGGGGACAAATTTAGAAGTCAGGCCAGGAGTGGCAGTGAGGAATGTCCTAGGCATGGTTTTCCTGGGGACTGAGAGGTAATTCTGGTCGGGCCTCCCTGGCTGGGCAGGAGAAGGAGATGGCTGTCTCCTAATGACTCTTATACCCAGACTGCACTTTGGGGCCACATGCTGGAAGATATGACTGTCCAGCCAGGCTAGGGCAAGAACTGAGCAGTGGGAAAGTGGGACTGCAGAGGTGGCAGAAGAACGCCTTTTCTCCTTGGCCCCAGTGATGCTGCTGGCCTGTTCGCTTGGACATCTGTGGGAAGGCAGAAGTGTGAGTGTGGCTTTACTTCCAGGACATGACCAGGCTCAGGAGGGAGGCTGAGATGGGGTAAGGAGGACAGCTGTGAATAGGAGGCTGGCTAGGCTAGGTCAAGGGGAAGGAATCATGTCTGGCTGGGCTCAATGGGAATGGGTGAGAGGTTGGGCAGGTGGTGTAGGAAGGGCAACACAGAGACCTGTGAATGAGAAAGAGACCGTTTCCTCCTGGGGGATTCTCAAAGCTGCTCCTCCCGCCCACCCCACCCTACAATTTCCCTAGTCCCGAGGTCCAGGCATTTAGGAAAGCTGAGCTTATGTAGGAGGCTCCTCTTCTGGTGTCGAGAGAGCCACCTGGCGACCCTCTCCTCTCAGGTCAGGCCCATGAGCAGAGTAAGGCTAAGGACCTGGAGTGAGGGTTAGGAGGACCTCAAGTGACCCTGCCAATGCTTCTAAGACCCTTATAACACACACACCCGTCTCCTGGGTTGGTTGGTTTACCTCTTGCCTCCCTGGGTCATTGGTTTTTTGTTGTTTTGTTTTTGCAGTGCTGGGATTTGAACTCACAGCCTACTCCTTGAGCCACTCCACCAGCCTTTTTTTGTTAAGGAATCTTTGAGACAGGGTCTTGAGAACTATTTGCCCAGGCTGGCTTCGAACTACGATCCTCCTGATCTCTGCCTCCTGAGTAGCCAGGATTACAGGCGTGAACCACTGGCACCCAGCAGTCCTTGGTACTTGATGTAGGTTTCCAAGCCTAGAACCTGCTCTGGGAGGAAGCTGGAAAGGGGAGGCTGAGAGGAGAGGATCCCCTCCTGACCTGGAGGGCAGAAAGACACTCAGGTGAGATGATGCCAGCGGTGGCTGTGGGTGGGTAACAGACTGGGCCCTTGGTGCTTCAGAAAGGGATAAAGGCATGATCCAGGGGCCAGGAACTGCCACTTCCCCAGAAATTCTTCCCACAGAATGCTAATGCTTGGCTAAGCCTGGGGCCTCAGTGGGGAAAGGCCGAGGCTGGGGCCCTGGTCACTTTCTGCCTTCCTCCAGGGAAGTTACCCTTGATCCCAGTGCCCACCTTTGAAGGACGACTCCAAAACTGGGGCTGGCTTGGGTGCCAGGAAGAGCTTCTTAGCATGCCGGCTGAGAGCCCCACCCTGCTCTGAAGGGACGATGAGCTGGCGGGTGAAACGCGCTCTATCACGGATATCATAGTTCTGATCGTACTTGGCTAGACTCAGCACATACTGGGTTAGCAGCTTGGTCTGGGGGAAGACAAGAAGGTGACTCAGCAGAGAGTGGGGACACAGGAGGCTCTGAAGCAGCTGGATTCAGCCATCACCTCCAAGCACAGCTGTTCCTCTCCCCTTGTACTTAACGCTGGCTGTCCCCACCCAACTTTCCCTCCTCACCTGCCACGGCTTCCAGTTTCCTCTCACATCTCTGACTCTGACTCCTGGCCCCAACTGTGACAACTGCTTTAAGCTAACTCTTCTCTCTCTTGGTCATGGACTCATATTTGTGATCCCTACCAGTCCAGACCCAGCCAACCTCTGTATTCTGGGGGAGCAGAGTCAGTAGAGGGCTGGGGTACTCTGCTGCACCTCATGGTTTCCAAGCTCCACCAGCCATGGAGAAACAAGACAACAGGAAGGCAACAAATGGCCTCCTTTGGCAGGAGCTGCATATGTGCCTTATAAACCCACAGAGCAGATTCTGAGCAGAGGGGACTCAGAGGAGCCAGTCTTTCCCTGGAATGTTGTAACATCATCAGAGCAAACTGCCTATGGATTTTTTGAGGTCATGTGGGGTTTGTAGTCTGCACAGTCCTACAGTTTCAAATACTGCACTGATCTTGGCCTAGTCTAACCTTCACATGATCACAGGAGCAGCTATCATTCATGAGGTGCTTTCTGGTGCTAAGCACAGTCTAGGTGCTTCACATACCTGTGTAAGCCTACAAGCCTTCTGAGAAGTGTTACTGCCTCCCTTTCCAGAGAAGTAACACTGAGTGACTTCTCCCAGGCTAAGGAAACTGTAGGTGCTGCGTCAGCCCTGGACCACCAGAGGCCCCCTGTCTACTTCCCCACACTGTCTACTGCCAGAAAGAGCCTGGCCTGACCCAGGCCTCCATGCCTCCGTCTCCTGTGACTAAGATGAAGACAGGTATCAGCAGCCAGAGTGCCCAGGGACAATGGGGACCAGCAGGACAGAGCCTGGAACTGACTCTGGTCTCCCTGAGATTTACGATGACCTACGGTCACATCCAGCCTTGGACATGGTTGACCATGTCATGGTTAACACAATGAGGTCCACAGGACAAAGAAACAGAGCCCTCCAGATGCTAGCCCAGCATCAGAGCAATTACTGTATCAGCACTGCCCACATTGCTTTAGGCAGCCACGGCGACTCCACTCCTACCTATAACCTGGCCCATGGGGACTGCGATGGCTTCGTATCCACCTGACTCCCTTTCAGCATAGTGGCATCTGTAATACTAGCGTAGACACAGATAAGGACTTCCAGCTGCATGCCTCCTAATACGATTTTACAATATGAGCACAGAATACCTTTGTGGTGGATTTCATCACAGACCTGCTCCCCCGTGGCCAGACACCATTGGACTGACCGAGGCTGTAGATGCCCTTATCATCATGGTCCATTGTAGGACGCTGTTGACTGTTTTGGTTTAAGATAGTGTCTTCCTCCACCAACTTCCCAGTTGGCTAATCACAGATTCTCTCCCTTCCTTACCTCCTTCTAGAAAGAACTGTTAGGGATTTGAGTCCATCTATCCACAGCCTTAACTACATGTCAACAACCAATATAAGAAAAACATGGTTCACTTCCTTCCATACTGCAAGATCTGCCTATAACAACCCATCACCCTTCTCTACCCTAAGGACTCATTCCCCAGACCTTATGGCATCCAGTCTATACCACTAGAACCCCTATCCCATCTGGCCAGGACGTGCAGGAGTTGCAAGGCTGCTCAAGAAGTCTTCAGTGTACCAAGAACACAGACCAACAGACTCCAGCTACCATGGAAAAACACTGATTCTCTTTCAGTCACCTATGCCAACATACTGGCTACCTTGCGACCACCTGGAAATTCATACTGTGAAAACATACTCAAACACTACATAAGTTCTAGACGGGTATGGCAGATAACCTAAAAATCCCTGTGTTCATGCCTTTGCCGATTCCCCTCATCTTGCTTCTGACCAACAGAATGTAGCAAAGGTGGTAGGGACAGAGGACTCTGTCTTGCTAGTAGACTTGTTTAGAGACTTTCTCCATGGGGCTTTGAAGAAATAAAGTGGCCACAATTGGAAGGCCCAGTTGTGGCTTCTGAATTTTCCAAATGTTTTATCCTGAGCACCTTTATAATATAAAAGGTTTACATTTTGCTTTTAATTTTACATCTTATAAGACGTTCCACTTCACTGTAAAGCAGGCCATAGACAAGGTGGTTGTGTCCCCCACTGTGCCCCTGGAAGACTTTCCTCCCACACATCTCACCTGGCATACAAAAAAGCAAACTCACCTGCCAGATGCATTCCAGGCAGTTGCACCTTGTGCTCTACCCAGGTAGCTGTACTTACCACCTTCACTACCACCTCCTCGAGCCCTCTGTCACTATATCCACTGAGCTATGGTGGCCTCTGGGCCCAGAATCTGATTATCTGTTAATCAGATCATCAGCAGAGCTCAGGCCTCAGCCTGGGCTGGGATCTGGCCTACAGTGGGATCAGGAAGTTGGGAGAAACTGGGACTTGTATGGCTGGGTAGCAGGCCTGGACTGTTATCCACAGTACTAGAATGGGGGAACAGCACAGCTGTTTTGTAAGGACAGCCATGTGTACATCCAAGCCACTTCCCTCCCAGTATGCAAGGATGCAGCTTTCTCCACCACTCCATCTGGGTGGGAAGAAAGAAAGGAGACGGTAGAGAAGAAAGCATTTTACTGAACCAAGGTCATTCTAAGGGGAAAGACTCACCTTCAGGAGAAGTGTGGCTCTGTGGCCAAAGTAACTCTGGGTACCCTGATGGGGGCTGGGACCCCTCCTATCTTGTGTAGAAAAAGGATTTGGCGGATGTAGCCACAGCTCTCTGTGTTAACCCTAACGACTGCTCTGTGTTTAAAATGCTTATTTTTGTACTGTCTCTCCTATGTGGCTATAATGACTTGTAGGCCAATAAACAAGTCTCACGCATGTCACATCCCAGGGCATAGGTATGTGCCAGGCAAATAATAAGCACTCTGGAAGTTATGTTAAATAAACAAGTGAACAGATGCACACGTACCTAACAGTGACAACTGTGTGGAGTCCCAGTGACCTGGCCTATGCCAGCTTGAGTCTCTGGGGCTCATGCCAGCCACCACGAAAGAAAGGAACCAAAGAAGAAGTCAACTGCCATCATCCATCATCATGCCAAGAGGCACATCCAGGCCTGGCGGGGGTATTGAAGTCCCCAGGGTACAGTCCTGCTGAAGACCCCAACCACCCAGATATTTTGCTTCAAGAGTAGGTAATGTTTCAATAAAGAGGACCAGAATGTAACTACTTTAAGCTCTCTGGGCCATACAGACTGTTTCAAGTATTCAACTCTGCTGCTGGAGCACACAAGCAGCAATAGACAGTATATAAATGGACGAGCATGGCATGTTCAATAAAACAATAAATAAATACAAAAAAACAGGCAACAGGCCACACTTAGCCCCTGGGCAGTAGTTTGCCAATCCCTGTGTTGGTGAACTGAGGAGACAGTGACAGTAGGAACTGTCCTGGTGTTTGGTGTCTCTAACACCTTGAAAATCTCTGAGAATCATGTTTTATTCTCAGAATGCCCTGGAGCCATCTCAGGGAATGCCTGACACACAAGAGGCTTTAATATTCCAGCTTAGTTTTGCCACATCCTATAATCTTTTACCTTGGGAGTGACATTGGTCACCAGTACCACCCAAGCCAGAGCACAGCCTTAACCTCTTCCCTGGTACAGACTGGCCAAGCATCAACAAGCTTTGGGAAGAAGCATAGCCTGCATCTTCTGGGATGCATGCTTTCTCATCACTGCCTGCCCCTTCCACTAGCCCCAAGCAGTGGTGGCCTCACGTCCCAGCATTCAAAGGTGCAGATTGAGAAACACCTACTGGCAGACATGAAGTCACGGCCGCATAGGAGAGCCTCATCAAGCATGACCACCAGTCCTAACAAATCCCTAAGTTCCCAGAATACTGGGGTAGCACTGGTTCCGTGGGGAGACTACCCCCGACCTTGACTCCCTTTTGCAGAAAGAGTTCAGGCCTGCGTGAGGACAGTCAAAAGAGCACAGCCTAGGGAAGTGTTTAGAGCAGACAGTGCTGGTGAGACACCGCCATCTTTACCTGTTTAGAGTTGGTCAGGTAGAGCTTGGCTGCCAGGTTGATGGTTTGCAGCTTGACGATATCCTCCTCTGCTGTGAATGACTTGGCCATTTTTCTCAACACGTCAGGGGCAATCCTAGGGACATGCTCACAGTACTCCCCAATGAGCCAAAGAATACTGGCTCGGGCCATGGGCACCTGTGCGTGTGGGACAGGAGTTGGGACTGCGATAAACACGACAATGTGCGTGGGAACTCTCCATCCATGCTGGGCTACCATTGTAGGACTCTCTGAGAATGGGAGTGGGGAGTGGTAGGGCAGATTGATAGATAAGCATTTCCTAGTCAACACCCACCCTCTTCCCTAGGGTTTCATGAGTGAGCATGGACAGTGCCTTGGGCCCCAGCCAGTCGTGATCTTTCTGGAGTCACTGTGCCTTGATTCTTTGTTCCCATGCTATTCTTTCTTAACCCTCAGGAATGCCACGTATGGATGTTTTAATCCAGGAGCACAACAGAAAAACACAGCCAGCCATCTTTAGCCAGAGCTTTACAGAGGAAACAAGACTGACTGGTAAAGGCTGTGGAGCTCAGAGGTGTCCCCACTAGCAGGAGAATCTTGGACAAGATCAGGGTCACATGGTCCAGTCTCTTGCCTTTTCCACCTGAAGACTTTCGGAGCCATTGTGGGAGATTTGAAGTTGGTTTTGGTAAGGCTGGAGTATTTAATTACATCTTAAAACTATGAGGATGATGTCAGGTTGTGCTGGGAGATGTGGGGCTCCTCCCTCACCTGGATGTTGTCTGTGAGCTTCGCCAAATGTTTGATGATCTCTCCGTGCTGTGCCGGCTGCATCTGTAGCAGCTTCTTAATAACCACCACTGACTCTGCAACCACAAGCTCTAGGGAACAAGAATGAGTGTGTGGACCCCAGAACGGTCAGACAGCCACACCCAGGTAGAAGCCACACCCGCAACACCGCCAGGCCTTTGGCTCTCTTCCTCAAGCACTTACACTTTTTTGGGGGGCAGGAGTAGCACTGGAGTTTGAACTCAGGACCTTGCACTTGCTAGGCAGGTGCTCTTACCCCTTGAGCCACTCCACAAGCCCAGTTTTCTGTATTGGGTACTTTCAAGACAGGGTCTCTCAAACTTTTCCCAGGGCTGGCTTTGAACCTCAATCCTCCTGAACTCTGTCTCCTGAGTAGCTAAGATTACAGGCGTGAACCACCAGTGTCCAGTGCACCTATACTTCTTTATTAGCCCTGAAAGGTATAGGAACGCCTGAATACTAATTGAGGCACACAGACCAATGGACACACCTTGTACCAAGACAGACAGGCCAGACCTACAGGCAAACACTGACCATCACGGTTGGACAGAAGCTGCACCAGGCCATTCAGGCAGGTGTCACGGACTCGGCCTATGTTCGTTGCACAGCGTCCAATGGCCTGGATCGTGGCTGCCACAAAGTCTTTGTCCATGCTGCGGATGTAGGTCTATGGGACATCACGACAGAGTGACCCCAGGTAGACAGTGACCCCCCAGTGACTCTGCAGGCTCGAGGTGACCTTCAGGAAGACTGGGATCCCTCATTTTATGCCTCATCATTCAGATACTAAATCTTGGAAAAGAGTGACACCCACTGGTCCATCCAGGGACTCCTCAGCCCAAAGCTGGCAGAAGGCACTGGAAGAGGGACCTGAGACAACAGTTTCACCAGCTTTGGGCTCTTAAGGGAAGACGTGACGCGCCAGGGCACTTCTCACTGAGCACAAGAGTCTGAAGGGTGCCTCTCCTGAACCCTCTGGCTAGGAGTTGCCCCCTGGCCTGTACCTGGAATTCCCGCAGGACGGTGGGAATGTTGGTCTCATTGGCCAGGTTGGTCAGCACTTCCAGCTGCAGTGAGAGCGGACAGAGGGAAGAGTGGCCACGGCGTCTTCTGTGCGTTCACAACACACTTCACACACCAGAAAACCACCTTCCTCACAGCCCAAAGCACGCTTTCCGTGTCCAGAATGTAGGAGGAACAGCTTCCTCTTACATGGACTCCCTGACACAGGGCTTACGGTATCATATCTCCTCCATTAGAAACCTAAGGCTTCCTGTTGCTTTTAGGATAGAGAGCAAGGTCTTGACCAGCACCTGTAAGCCCCTAAATGATCTGACCCATCCATCTCTCACCTCCCACCACTCTCCCTTCCCTTTTATGCTTCAGTCATTCCCCTGTCCTTCTTCAGGGTCTCCTCAGATGCTGCTCCCTGACTGGCACAGTTCTGCCATTTCTGACCCCTGCATCTACCTAGGTAATGTGCATTCATTTCTCAAGTCTCGGCTCAAACCTCATCATCTCAAGGAAAACTTCGCCGACAGGACCAGGTGAGCTCTCCCTCCCCCTACTTCACACTTGTTTCTTGCCTTATTTCCATAACTGGATTTTACATTCATTTTTCGATTAGCTGATTAATGTCTCCTCCCAACCCAACTGAGGGCCGGGTTCTGATTATTTTGCTCCATCTCGAATCCGGGAACAATGAGCTACATACACAGCAAATGTTCCGTGAGAGTTAACCCTTACTGAAGGAAATCCACCGGTAATGGCTGACACGTCAGGAGTGGGATGGAGCCTTGGGGCGGGGCACTTCTCCTCTTGGTACTTTTCCATGAAAGCCCAGGTGTGTGAGCGAGAGACAGAAAACCTCAGTGGGAAGCCTGAGCCTTGGAATCGGCAGTCCTGTGACCTCGGGGTAGTGCTCTCAGTGCCCTCGTTTCCTTCAATCTATGTTTTGTCTGGTTTTTTAACATCAAATGCACCTAATACACACTTCTTACGGTTATTATGAAAACCAAGTTACTTTTTCTGCTTAGAGACCCTGGAGGACACCAGGCAAAAGGACGTCTGCAGCTGTCTCAGCCCTGGGCTCAGCCGCAGAAACAGGCTGGGGGTGGGGGTGCCATACCGCATGCCCTCCATCACTCACCTTCAGGATCTTGATCTGGGTGGGGTCAGTGGACCTGATGTAGAAGCTCTTCAGGTAGGGCTCAAACATACCCTGCACAAGAGGGGAACCCACGGAGCTCCAGTGCAGCCCGGGTCAGCCTATCCCGACACTGGGCCCTCCACACTGCCCTCCCCTCCACATCTCAGATCTGACGCACCTTTCTTCACTGGGCATTCGCCCCTCAGTGGCCCCTCAGGATCCAGGCCCTCTCCTAGCATGCATTTGGGATCACCCCCTTCCCCCATCTGTGCACAGCCAAGGCAATTCCCATCTTGGCCTGGTAGTTCCCCAGCCCCCACCCTCTGCCCCAGCATCACCCTAGGTCCTGAAAGAGCTGACCCTGGTCAGGCATAGCAGGCCTGGGTCATGTGCTCACCCGGCGTTTGATGGACATGGTAGCCACATTCTGGAGCACTACATACTGCACCTCACTGTGGAGAGGGGAGGTCAGAGGGCTCCCGGCCCCTCGGTGGAGACAGGGGGCAGCAGGGCAGGGAAAGACAAGTAGGCGGGGGTGGGGAGAAGGAAACATGGGAGAGGCAGGAGTGAGTGACCGTGGAGTGAGGAGGATGCTAGGGGAGGAGGACTAGCTGCCAACAGAGGTGGGCGTCATCGTGCGTCTGCTGCCCCCGAGTTCAGGGCCCGGGGGCGAGGCGGCCCGGGGGCGGGGCGGCCCGGGGGCGGGGGTCATCGCACCTGTGGCTGCGCAGCAGACGCACGAGCGCCTTGGCGATGACGCCCACCTCCGCCTTGGGCGCCAGGTGGAAGTAGAGCTGCGCCACCGCCATGACCACCGCGGCGCTGCGGCTCTGCAGCAGCGGCTTGGTGTTGCGCAGCAGCAGCCGGTGGTCGGGGTCCATGATGTAGGGCTTCCGGGCAGGGAGCGCCGCGGCGGCCTCCGCCTCGGACCCCGGAGCCTTGGCGTCGTCCTCCTCCGAGCCGTAGAAGGCCTTCTCGGGGCTCTCCTCCAGCAGGGACTCCTGGGAGAGGGTTGTGGGGCACAGGTGGGCCGCGGGCGACTCCCCGCGACCCTCCCGCCCGCTGGGCCCGGTCACTCACGTTCTGCGTGGGGCTCAGGAACTGCGTGCGCGCGTAGCGGGTCAGCATGCTGATGATGACCACCTGGCCCCACTCCTCCACGTCGATGAGCAGGTTGCACAGCTTGCGGTAGTTTTTGTGAATGAGGTCGATGCGCTCCGGGCACACCTCCTCGAAGGCCATCACCACGCTGCCGGCCACCAGCTGAGGCACACAGGCAAGGAAGGGAACCAGACCTGGGTCCCGCACTGCCCGGTGCCGATTCGCAGCTCGCCCCGCAGTCCCTGATGCACCCACCGTGGTCTTGTCCGCCAGAAGCTTCTCAATGACCTCTATCAACTGGTCCTTCTGGTCAGAGTCCAAACTGGGGGAGAGAGTGTTGACAGCATTTGCCTCTCCTGCCCCAGCCGCCCGAGCCATGTCACCTGCACACCCCCTGTTCCTAAAGGGGGGTGAGCCCCACCCTACTGTCTTCCCTCTCAAGCCACGTGGGGAGCAGCCAAGACTTGGCAGAGGGCAGAGGTGGCTGGGGGCTTAAGAGCCAGTCCCCTGAGGGGCAATCCGGGCGTACCTGTAGAGTTTGGGGATGGCATGGGCGGCCGTTTTGCGCACGTAGGGCGACATGTCTGAGGCGGCTTCCTTGATGGCCAGCATCATGATGGGTACTATGATGGGCACACGGATGCTAGAGAGAACGCGCAGGGCACTGGCACGGATCAGCTGGTTGGGATCCTAAGGGCACACATGCAGTCACAGCCGTGAGAGGGAACCAGGTGTCCTGGATGGGGAGGCCATGCACCTTTGGGAATCACTATCCCTGGCTACTGCCTACCACCTCCTGCCCTGAGGCTGGATGACATGCCAGAGCTGGGTACCTGGGGGCTCTGGCTTCAGAAACCTCACACCTGAACAGGTGTGGCAAGAGGTAGCGCTGCCCTAGAGTTCCTGAAGCACTTCCAGTTCCTTAGTCGTGGGGGTGTCTTGTGTTTACGCTAAGGTGACTGCCAGCAAATGCAGGCTGGTCTCTTCCAGAGCTCACTGTCACCCGCCTCTCTCCCAGCAGCCTCTCAAAGAGTACTCTTCTTCCACAGTGTTTAAAACAGAATAGGTGCGTGGGCCCCTCCTCTACACACCCGATCTGAGCACTGGCTCCACTGTGTGACAGCCATGGAGCTTAGGGCTGTCTTCTCGCTGCTGGCAGAGAATGATGGAAAATGGGGGAAATGCTGGAATGTTACAGAAAGATATGTGCTACCCTGATTTTCTAAAATGGAGAAAGAGCTGCAGGACTGCAGGTGAAGTTGATGATTATTCCTGGCCAAATTCTGGAACTGAGTTTTAAACAGGAGGTTTAGGAGCATTTACTAAAAAAGCAGGCGTCTGTACTTTCTCAGAGAGAACTTCATATCACATCAACTACTGACACTTGATTTTCTTTTTTGTATTTAGGCAGTGGAGTTTGAACTCAGGGCCTCGCACTTGCAAGGCAGGCATTCTACCACTTGAGCCACTCCGACAGCCCTTAACATTTTACTTGGAAATGACTGTAATCACAAAAGGTTTTCTTTCTTTTTTTGTGGTGCTGAGGGGATTAAACCCAGGCCTGGAGCACTAGGCAAGCACTCATCACTGAGCTACACCCTCCAGTACCTGTTTTTCTTTTTGATGGGGTATCTAGGGTGGTAAATGATAGTAACTGTATCTTGACTTCACGAAGGCATTCCTGGGAGTCTCACACAGCATGTCCTGTATTGCCATTTTTGATGCAGGCCTTTTGTTTCATCTAATGTGCAAGCATTTTAAGAATAGAATTCAGGCTGTATCACGATAGCCCTTTGTATATGATAAATGTTAGGACTTTTCTTGCTATTGAATAAGATCCTTCTTATTAAGAAAGGAAAATGCTGCTGGGTGCCAGTGGCTCACACCTGTAATCCTAGCTACTCAGGAGGCAGAGATCAGAAGGATCACAGTTCAAAGCCAGCCCAGGGAAACAGTTCAAGACACCCTATCTTGAAAAAACCCATCACAAAAAAAGGGCTGGTGGAGTGGCTCAAGGTGCAGGCCCTGAGTTCAAACCCTAGAACCACAAAAAAAAAAAAAAAAAAAAAAGGAAAATGCCAGCTGATAGTACAGTTAGATGGGTCTGCAACTTGATAAAATGTTCTTAGGGTTTTACTAACAGATCAGTATCAACTTGGAAACGTTATTTGGAGTTGGTGCTCTGGTCCAAATAGCTTATCGGTATCTTCAAGACACACAATTGAGAGACAAAATTAAAATTCAGATTCACCTGGCTGGACTGGGTGCGGTGTAAACGCATGCAATCCCAACTACCCAGCAGGCAAAGACAGAGGACTGAAAACCATGAGGCTGGTCCAAGCAAGTTAGTAAGACTATGTGTCAGAATAAAATAGAAAATAAAAAGGACTGGGGTGAAGCCCAGTGGTAGAGCACTTGCCTCGCAGGCTTGAGGCCCTCGGTTCAATCCTCATACTGCAAAAAAGCAAGAATTGCCTTGGTTTGGGCACTGCTAAATCAGTAAAATGAAGCATAGTAAGATTTTCCTAGGGGTTTCAAGGAATCATCTGCACAATGACAGGATGTGGGAGGGCCCAGGTTATCAACCAGAGGTGTGACTGCAGAGATGTCCACTAAGAAGAAAACGCAGCTTCAGGCTGGGCAGACAAAAAGAAAGGAGGACCCTGGACAGATCTAACTAGTTCCAGTGCATAGCACAGGCCAAAAACCAGTAAAAACAACAACAAAAAAAAACAAGTTGTAACAAAATGCAGGTATAGTATGATTCCATTTATAAAACAGTAGTACATTTTGTCTAGGAGTGCATAAGTAAGCAGTAAAAGAATAAATAAAAGCATATGAATGATAGAAGATACATAGGAGGCTCTGGCTTCTTGGGCACATGCCTTTTGTGAGTCTGAAATTTAAAAAAAAATTTTTTTTTGCAGTGCTGGGATTGAATCCAGGGCCTTACCCATGCTTGAAATAAATTTTTAAAAATTATAGCTATGGGGCCAGATGCAGAGGCTCACAGCTGTAATGCCACCTAGTCAGGAGGCAGAGACTGGGCTGATCACAGCTCCAGGCCAGCCCAGGCAAAAAGTTAGGAAGACCCCATCCTAATAAAGCATGGTGGCACACCTGCCATCCCTGCTACACAGAAGGAAGGAAGGAGAATAGCAAGGCCAAACGTGAGACCCTATCCAGAAAAATAAAGCAAAAAAGGGCTGGGGAGAATGGCTCAAGTGGTAGAGCACCTACGTAGTAAGCTCAAGGCCTGAGTTCAACTTGGTACTATTTAAAAAAAGAAAAAGGAAGGAAGGAAGGATAGCTATGTAAGTTTCAACACAACAAACAACAAGCCAAGCTACTTTGGAGGCAGAAATAGCAGAATTGCAGTCCAAGGTCAGCCCAGGCAAACATGCAAGACCCTATGTGAAAAGTGAGCTAAAAGCAAGAGGACCCGGAGTGTGTCTCAAGTGGTTCTGAGTTCAATCCCCAGTACTGCACAACACAAACAAAACCCAGGTGTAACTGTGTTTGGATGGAGCAAGCGGTGTGCCCCATGGCTTTGTGAAGGAGTGTTCCCTGTGCCTGTGGCTCTGAGACCATGTGTCAGTGATATTCTACAACAAAGGCTGGCAGGCTATAGACCTGGGGCCAAATCCACCTGCTGCCTAGTTTTAAGTAAGGATTTACTGGAACACAACTGTACCCTCTTGCTTATGTGCCACAAGTGCAAACTTGTATGGCTGCGATGGTAAGGCTGTAAAACCCACAATACTATTTGGCACGTTATAGAAAGCTTGCAGAGTGCTGTTTTAAGAAATTATTGCATTGATTAGAAATAAGGGCAAAATAGTTTCTGCTGGGTATTGAGGGGGGGAGAGGGAGGGGGCGGAGTGGGTGGTAAGGGAGGGGGTGGGGGCAGGGGAGAAATGACCCAAGCCTTGTATGCACATATGAATAATAAAAGAAAAATGAAAAAAAAAAAAAGAAATTATTGCATTGAGTTGGACTAAATGAACTCTGGTTTTCTAAAGGGGGGTGGTATAGACTGTAGAAACTACAGAAGAATGTCAAATTTGTACAAAATTCCAAAATGGTTCTTTTTTAGGGGAAAGGGACTTGAACTTAGGGCCTCACACTTGCCAGGCAGGTGTTCTACCACTTGGCCCCCAGCCAGCCTGTTTTTTTGTTTTTTTGCTATATCTTTCAGATAGAGTCTTGCATTCTTGCCTGGGGCCAGTTTCAAACCCAGATCCTCCTACCTATGCCTCCTACATAGCTGGAATTATAGACATGCACCACCATGCATGTTAAGATAGTGGTCTCACTAACTTTTTGCCTGGGCTGGCTTTGAACTGTAATCCTCCCAATCTCTGCCTCTCAATTAGCAGAATAGTTTTTATAAAATAATTTAACCTCTGA